TTTTTTTTTTTTCTGGTACAGGGAATTGAACTCACAACCTTGTGTTTGCCAGGCAGGTGCTGTGCCTCTGAGCTAAATCCCCAGCCCCCTACTGTCCACATTTCAAATTGGACCCAGGGTTCTTTGGGGTCTCCCACCTCTTGTATCTTGTGTAAGACTCACCGGGTTCCTTCCTGCTTAAGCCCAGCTGGACACTGTTTCCCTAGGGAGACACTCCTGGGGGATGCTGGTTCTCCACACACCCCACAACACTACTGAGATAGAGGAAGAGGAGGCAGCTCTGGTCTTACAGCCAAAGTTACATTTCTATATCTGTGTGTTTTCTTTCTCTTGTGTGCGTGTGTGAGAGAGTGTGTGTTTTCCTGCTCATTTCCATAAATAAAATGTTCTTTCTCAGCTGTATGGTTGCTTCCCCTGATTAATTCCTACCCTGGCCTCTCTGGAATGGTGTTTCTTCTTTTGCTTAAAACAGCAGGCATCTGCTTTTTGAGTTGAGTTAATGGGGGATGGAAGGGAGTGAGCCAGGTCTCCGTGGGCTTTCTGAGAATCCCCACAACTCCCTTACAAATAGCTCACATTTTCAGCTGACTCCTTTTGATTTTGTGTACGCTCTACCAAAGTAGAATATTTTCTCTGCCACTCAGAATCTCATGGTACGGCCCATACTGGGTTGGATTTTCAGTAATAATCTTCTAAAGAATTCAGGACCCAAGAGTCCAGTTATTCCAGCACCAGAAGCTGGCTAGTTATTTGTCATCAGCCAGGAGAACAAAGCTTTCCTTACATCTGCCTTCCTTGCCTTACAAGGCGAGATCTCAATCACACGGCAAGTTTATTATCTGCTAGTCTTCCTCCAAAGCCTTACATACAATAGATTGCATCTATTTAAATATCCAGGTCCCTCTGGAAACATGGTCTTCCTCTGATACACACAAAGAGGGTTTTCAGGCGGAAAATCTGGGTAGTAATTTTAATAGCCACTAATGTGAATTAATAATTCTAATAACCTCATTTTGGATGTGTTATCGGGACACTGGAGAGGGTTGCCATGGCTGCTGTATTTTATTGCTCACAGCTGTGCAAACTCATTTTGGCCAGCCCAATTCTCTTGTCTAACCTCTCCTTTCATTGGTTTGCACAATCTCTCCTGTATGGATTTAACAAACAACAACAATGGAAAGTTAAGGAATAGTTGTGTTCTTAAAACACTAAGTAAGTGCCATTGTTAAGTGACAATAAAGGAGCCCAGGGTTTTAGAAGAGGTTTATGCAGTTGTGTCTTCATGAAATTAAATCATTGCTTTGACACATATATCAATATCAATGTCCAAAATATAATTTGTCAGCAATTCCAAAGCACCTTCTTTAAGTGCTTTGGGGCATGAACAATGCTCCTTAATAAACTACTTTACTGGTTATTGCCCTTACAAGATTCCAAAAAGTACATTAATTTACTTTCTCAGGCCTATAACTGACCACAGAGCAGTGATGTTCAGCTTAGTGCCTCTCATATCTCCTTTTGCTGTGGTAGTGTTTTCTAGTGTTTCTTATTTAATCCTCACCGCATCCTGTATGGCAATGTTGGTAGTTGGAGAAAAGGTCTGTATCCTGTCCCCTGCATTTGGGGAAGCTTGTGACTGCTCTGAACAGAAGAGTCCGGTGTGAGTGATCCTATGTGACTTCTCAAGGAGTCTTAAAAGGTCATGGGTCCCTGCCCTGTGAAAGCCACATTTGCTCTCTGAGCTATGAACCATCACCGAAAGTTTGACACCTGGAGGTTGCCGTACTGTGAAGAAGTCCAGTGCATGTCTGGGTGACAGTATGGTCTGAACTAATCTTTGAATGAACATGTCACAGACCAGGATTCTGATACCTTGTAGGTTTGATATTATGGACCAGAGACATGCCAAACTTTGTTATGGCCTGAGTCCCTAATCTTAATCCATGAGCATAATAAATGGTTGATAGTTGCCTTATTTCTAAATCTTGGGGTGTTTTATTATGTGGCAATAGATACTTGGAACACTAAGGAAATTTCAATGTTAACCAGTTTGGCCAGTGTCACCCAGAAAATAGAATCCTGGGATTCAAAACCAAATCCATCTACACCAAACCTCAAGATCTTTTAACCATGAAATTATAGCACCATAAGAAAAGTCTATAAACAATACTTACCTAGCACGGGAAAACAACGTTATAAAAACAAAAGAGACAAGTGTTTTTCTTTCTGCCCGTGGTCATTAGCATGGACTCATCCTAGGCCTGCCAATCCTAAATACAGAAAAGCTGTGGAAACCATGCGGTGATCTTTAATTAAAGTATATTTTTTAAAACCACCCCTGTGTTCCTACCAAACTGTCATGTATCTGGTTTGAAAAGTAGCCAACTCATTGACTTTAACTGTCATCTGAACCCATATGGCAATCTGGAACTCAATATGAAACCCCAAGTTCTGTTCAGCTCTGGTTGCTCCATTTGAAGCCAATCATGGGGATTATTCAACGGTTCCCTTTCTCTGTTGCCATTTAAATGCTGGCTTTTGGCTCATTTTTTTTAAAAAAAGTTCTAAGTTCTTACAAAGTTTCTAAACTTTCCCAAGCTATGGTCCTTTTGGTCTTAGCGCGCACACACACACGTGCAGATCTGAAGTCTGACCACCCTACTATCCTGTCACAACAGTCTCTTCAAGGTGAGATCCACTCATAAGTTTGTTATCCAGTAATTTCAAAGCTTGTCCTCCCTCCCTCTCTTCCATTTCTGTTAAGAAAACAAAAAGGAAAGCTGATGTTATATTCACTTAGACCCATGTGGGACTTAGGAAAGTACAAGATGAAATGCGGATGATTTAATAAAACCTTTGAGCCTCATTGGAACTGAACTGTAGGCAACATACATCTGCACTCTGTAAACTCTTACAGGCAGGGACGAGATTTTACATAAACTCCATTTTCCTGGAACAAATTGACTAACTTTGTGAAGCTCTCTTTATAATGAGAGGTCTCAATGCAAGGTCACAGGTGATGGAACTGCTTAAGCAATTAGTCACTAAATGCATCTAAAGCCTTTGGGAATAAGGGACTTTCCTTGCAAAGGAACCTTATTTATTAATTGTTAATTATAATTTCTCTTATCAGCTTCTCTGTGGATTTGCTGTCTATGAAGAAAGACTGAGGGGGAAAAATTATAAGAGCTTCTGAAAGGCAGACAGCTCTCTGGTTAACAGTACCTGTGAGCAGTTACATTCCAGGGTTTCAGAAAGGTAACAAAGCAAATGTGCTCTGTCCACCATTTTTGCAGAACTCCTCAGGCGCAGGACACCCGAGTGAATGGCACTGTCCTTCTGACCTGCCACTCACAGTGGTCCTAGGGAAGTGCCAATAAGAACTTTCTTTTACCTGATGCTAAGTTCCATTAAGAAGCTTCTTGGGAGCCTTCCATTCACATTCAGGCTTGCAGCCTGTAATTTTATCTGATCTGAAAATTGGTCCTGGGGCAGGTGGATGATGGGTCACATTGGCTTCTTTTCAAGATGTGGGCCCTAGCATAACAGGTTATTGAAATGTAACCTACTGGTAGGAACTCGCAGACCAATTCATGTTGCCTGAGTGAATGTGAAAAATTGGTTTCTTTAAGTGAGCAAGGAACTACGCAGAAACACATTTTAACTGACCATTCATGGTTGCTATGACACATAGTTTTCACATAACAAGAAAAAAATCACTTTCTTTAAAGAAAGTTTGAATGTGACATGAAACATTTCCAGTTAATTTTTCCTATAGGAATGTCTTCTTCATGGAATTGGTGGTATAATTCTTTGCAAGTTATAAGAGTACATAATAACTTCTGACAAATATAAATGCACATATATCCCTACCAGCAATAAGTGGATTAGATGATATTTCAGATCTAGACAACCCTAATTAAATTACTCCTAACGTTACTGGCCTCTGTGGATTGATCTCTCTTTGACCTTCACAGCCCATCAGAATAAATGAAAGGCAAGCATTCTAATATTTTTCACATTAGAATTTTCACATGTATCTTCATATGTATAATACTATACACACACATCAACTAGCACATATTTGCATGTTGTATTTTTTAAAGACTGTAGTGTTATAAAATGGCATTATATTAAAGAAATGCATTAGATGATTGCAAAGAGAGGGCGCTTAAATTACATTTTAATGTTTTCACGTTCATTTCATAAGAAAAGATTACTTTTAAACAAATATCTTCTCTTAAGAATATAAATGTGTTCTGATGCCTTCATCTTTTTAACAGTACAGGACGAAAGTACCGTCCAGCATAACCAACAAAGGACCTGTTCTTTAAACTGACAAAATAGTGGAAATTTTCCTTACAACACTAGACACTACAAATTATCCTTCATGTGAAAGAAATCTTTTGTCCTTCATGAGGTGTCTTTGTGGTAAACACTCTAAGGGAACATTTTTTGGCATTTGTGAAAATACAATGTTTATGTTACACATTTTTTATAAAAAGGTTGGATATATTATGCTGTTTGTTTAAAAATGATACTTCACCATAGGAGAACAGATGTGCCTTCTCCTAAAGAAGTATAAAATTAAAAAGTTACAACACACACAGACTGCTGAAACTATCAAAAGTTTTTCTTCTTTTTCTCTTTCTCTGACCTTCTTTTTCTTTGCCTTGTACATGACAATTTATGGTTTTCTTAAAGTAGCCACATTTCCT